GAGAAGACGAAGTCTCCAACAGCAGAGTGTATTTTTCAATTGTACACGGAAGTTATGTATATTTCAACAAGAAGCGTTTTAAACAAAAATTATGTACAATATCTCGAATTTATACAAATAACCAAAAAGTGTACAATCACATTGTTACGTACTCCACAGGTTTTCTATAAATAGATCTTTTTATTGACCCATCAAGCCGTTAACTGAGCAATATGTCTAGGAAAGATAAACAATTATCTTCCTCTTCTACAGATGTAAGTGATATGCTATTCTGAACTTCATTCATTCGATTTAAAATTGGGGGGAGCAGAACAAGGCTTATCACTGATGACTACGATATCATCTACATATCTTCTATAAAGTGGCACATTTTCGATTAAATCTTCCGATAAATTCTCAATGTACGACATATAAATATCTGCTAAAAGGGGCCCTAACGAACTGCCCATAGCAACACCATCAAATGTAAACCTAACATTGTTAGTACATAGAAGTAATAAATCCCTTAAGTAGGATGTAGGAAACAGGATGAAAAAATTGTTTGTGGAAATATAATCACACAAAATGACATCTGTTTTGATCAAAGGCACATTAGTAAATAAGGAGTTTACATCAAAAGAGTACATATTCTTGTTCATAATATTAATATTATCAAGAACATCAACCAATTCAAATGTATCTTTTAACACATACTTACAGAATTGTGTTTTGACTGGATTCAATAATTCCACTAACCATTTAGCAAGTTTATGCGTTGGGGATTTGCACATTGACAATATAGGACGTAGAGGATTATTGGGTTTATGTATTTTTGGCAACCCATACATATGTGGGAATTTACAATCTGGTGGTTTTAATGAGTCAATCTATCCCAAATTAGACCACATCATCTTAGGCGAGTCTAACAGCTGTACATTATCAAGTAAATTACTATGTGTTGTAGATTTTTTTTCGGTTGATTCTTATACACCGTGCTAATCATACCCCATTCTTTCCATAACTGTATGCTTCCTGATACATTCAAGATACTACTTGTTCCTTTAATACACTTTCAAGAACGAGTATGCTTCCATCAGTTGTGGTATATTTTATAAATTTTAAAACAAAACTAGGTATAGTAACGTGGAAGTCTAGGCTTTGACCTTCGATTTGCACAATAATTGATTTAGACTTAGTACACAACATCTGTGTTTGGATAACGCCTTACTGCATATGGATGGTTCATATTTTGTAGCGATAGGGTTCTTCTCCTGATGGTTACGCCATAAGACATTTCTAATGTGACACGATTTAAAACTCTTGAGGACAACATGTTGATGTAGAAATCACACGTTTTTTACCTCTATTTTTAATTTTCTCTAACACTAAAATCTCAATTATTAGAGGTAGTCTTCAGAAGTGATTTATTCTGTTTAAATTTCTAGTGCTGAGATTTACATCTTCATTTTCCTCAGAAGATTGGTAACTTACTATTTCGTCTTCACCTGATCTCTTTATTGTCACCTTACTATGTTTCTGTTCTTTTCTAAGCGCATTCTAATAGTATGAATGTTGTTGAGACTGTTTCTCAAAGAGAACCTTTATGACAACTTGAAATCAAGATTTCCTACGTGAAAGAACTTCACGTATCCAAGTATGATGGCTCATTTTATTTTATACAATAATAAATGCAACAAAAACCATTCTAAATATGAGGTTTCTTCAGGAAACAGAATTTTCGCTCTAACGACTTAGAGGTTAACAATTGGCCAGAAGTGGCCACTCAACATACAGAATTTCTGTATAACCTAGGTGGTGAATTGATATCAGTTATAAACAGTTTTGACAGTCAGATTGTAATATAATCCCTCAGCAGATAATTCTCTAGCTTTGATTCATAAAGTCAGAGTACTAGTTTTCAACGTATAATTTTAATGAATATTTACATAATTTTCACAAAAAGTTATTGTTAACTTGTCGACATTCTTATCCTCTTCACATTAATTCGAAAACCTCTAAAAACCAATTAGCACTGGTCAGGACACTTTTATATTTGTATAACTGTGTCGTTGACTTTTGTTTTTTCCATCGATATTCTTTTATTTTCATACTTGGTTAAAGTTGCTGTACTTCTAAATCTCTGCGCGCATCCGAACTAGATATCAGTACAAACTCCGCGTATTTATTCCATTACAGACATTAGAATTTAGTGAAAACATGTGTATAATAGATAAGTTTATTTGATATATCTCTGTGATACTGAACTAATAACTGGATGACGCTTTGAGGACAATTTACTGCTCGTAGTCATATCTACGTATCCCCACATGTCTTCACAATGTTCCCCGCCCGTTTGTTATTTATTACAATTTTCAGTAATTGCGGTATAAGCATTGCATCATTTCGATTGCACGTTTTGATTTTACTTTGGTGAACAAAGATTCAGTGATTAATCTCTCTCCACCTAACTATATCACATTTTATTACTCTTACATTATCGTGTGATTACATGCGAGTGAATGCATTGCAATAGTTTTTTTCCTACATTTTTTAAATACAGGAGCGTAAGTCACTTCAGCTTGTGCTAAATTCCAATAATTTAATTAACCCTGATCTGCTAATTGTATCTCACAGTCACTACATCGTATTTGGTAAATCATATTATTTTGCTTAATTGGGTCTTTAAGCCGACAAAGTCTGTCTTTGAGTAAGTTGCTTAAACGCCACCCTGATCACAGACACATTAAGAATCCAAGTTGGGCTTTTGATATTCCTTCTTCGTGTAGCAGTACTATCGATGCTCTAAATTCGTTATTTCCATTACTGCCCTTGTTTCCCTCTTGGGTCTTCATACATTCTTGAATAAAATCTGGTAGGGAATGTTTTCCTGATTTGTTTGATTTCATTACGTAAATCCTCTCATCTAATATTTGGGCTGCTGGTTCGATTACATTGATAATTAACTTTTACTGAGTATTTACTAGAATATGACGGTTTCTACAGAGGCTAGTATATAACCCATCATTCTGTTTTAGTTTATACTTTAGTATAGCTAACTAATCCTGTTCATTTAGTAACTTGAAGGTAAACCTAATTTCATCTATTACCGAGTTTATGTCTGAAGAACTTCGTGATACTCTCGCTAGTGTGAATGTATCGCCCACATACTTCCATCATAACTTAGGAGGAGGATTGGACGCTCTAAGAGATTTACGTCCCAAACTACCACTGTAGACATTAGTGATCCCATCTTTACTTCATTTGTTTGTTTGTTTACTTTGAGATTAAAACACAGTGGGAGTTAGACATAACTGAACACCTAATATTATTTCTCTAACCAAGACCTTCGCCATATTTTTTAGTTTACGGTCAATATCCAGTTCATTTTCAACTGCCTTCAGAACCGCATTGAGATATCAGTGTATAAACTTGTATAAAAACTAACCGTCTTCTCTTATTTGAACTTCTTGTAGCTTTCACAACATTAGGGATGAATAAGGTAGCCTAGAAACTGACCGATCTCTAATTGGACATAATACTGATGCTAAATTTTTAGATAACTCATATGCTGGTATGTTCTTAGACTCACACGTCAGTCTAGTCATATATCCTGTTCCATGAATTCTAATAGTGCTACACATTCTATAAGGATTAAGAGTTTTAGACAATAACATAAACCATTCTTGACTGACCAGGGATGACTTCATTCAGGATACTAGAACCACTGCACACTTTTGACCTTATTCGTAACCGGGAATACAGGTTTCTTAATGCCTCATATGGACCTGTTTGAATGTGTTTATTAACCTTAATGATGTAATCTTATCTGTCTATAACTACTGTTCAATTATCCTTGTCTGACTGACAATTACCATGTTCTTGGCATTCCTCGGATGTTTTGGAGTTATTATTTATTATTAAGATTAGTTCTTTTTCACTTTCATCTGATGTTTCAAGGTCAATGCACACTATGCGCTAACTTGCTCAGCAATAATTGCTTTATCTGTGGCATTTAACCCTACATCTACAACTGCAGCGATTTCCTCATGTTTTAATCGATCAACAGCTACATCGAAGTGTAGTGCCTTTATTATTAACTCCACTCATCTTAGCAGAATATGTTTCTTCAATTATTAATGTGGTGAATTTGTTCATTTAATCGTTTTTGAATTTATTTAAAAACAAATTATATTACCTTTTTGGATGTTTGGAGGAGAATGTCATACTTCTTGTTATTTACTATATTTTTGATATTCAGTTTGTTACTCGACTTCATGTCTGACATCATTTACCCTTTTGATACATCTGTGAATTTCTTCTCTTACACAAAGTCTACTGAGCTGTCCTTCTGCTGCTTTCACCTCTCTCGTTTCAACAGGAATGAGTAAATGGGTAAACGCACTTAGATGGAAAGACAGGTCAATCACCGAATTTTCACTCATCAAATTCAAAACCAAACACGTGCAATCGAAATTTTGCAACGCTTGTACCGGATACATGGTAAAATTTCAATCAAAATAGCAGGGAGTAAATCTATATAAAGCAAGTTATGAAGTCATGTAATGAATAGACTGTGATATGACTATGAGCAATAAAATGTACTCGAAATTTCATCTAGTCACTGATGATGTATCAGTGTGTGTGTTGTAACAAATAAATTTATCTAGTATGAGACTATATTCTGCCACAGTACCTAAATTTAACTGTTACATGAAAGCATAAGGTCGCTTACCACTTTTCACAATCTATTTATGATATTCAAAAAATCGAGAATCTGAATTATAAGAAAACTTCGATTGAGATTACACATGTGTACACTGAAAATTGCGATTGTATGTTAATTACTGTACAAAAAAACACACTGCGTTCACAAACAAACGAAGTTGTCCACATCAACGCTAAGTGCTAAAGTAACAACAATTCTCTATTCAAAAATTGAGCATTTTAAATCAAAATGCATACTATACTATATAAAAACACCATTTAAGTTAATATACAAGGTAAAGAAAATGAAATGCAAGTTATGGGTATACAGAGTATATGATGGCAGCAGTACCAATACAAAAAGTGCAAAGTGTTATAAGAGAATTCATTTGAGAGAATCTCTCCGCTAACGGAATAGCTGGGGCAACATTTTCAACAGGTTTCATTTTTATTCCTCTTTCTAGTTCATAACGCCCCTGTGCCTTTACCCATTGTGCAATCCGATCTGCCCACCGCCTAATAGATAAATAAAAAAAAACTGAGATGTTCATTTGAATTGTAAATAGTAAAACACAAAATGACCAGTTTTTAAAGAGAAACAGGAATTTGAGCGTCGGAACTGAAATTGAGATAATCAGTTAGTGATATCAGTAGAGAACATTAATTACTTATATTGATAGCATCTAAAATGCCATCTACTGTAGAGATATTTCAAAAGCTATTCAGTGAATATGTTGAATAATATAAATTACCTAAAATCCTCCTTCTTTTCCTTCAAAAAGTTACTATGGTAACCTTCCCATGGACTCAGAGTATTGTTCTTAGTGCATGAAGTTATTAGTGATAAACTAACTGAACAGATAAAGATCACAGTATTTCCGAATTTCAAATATCTCCGACTGTTGCACGCAATGTCTCTGGTAGCAAAGTGTTTCCAAGAACTTATCATTTTGTCATCAAAAGTACCCTAAGAATTACAATTAAAAACAGAACGATTCGTCCCCAGTCCGATTCGCTTTCCCTACACAAAAGGATTTATTATTTTAGATATTTCATTACTTCTCAATAATTCGACTGGGTTTCACACAATGAACAATGCTTATTATTTTGTGGGCCTGCCTTAAATTTATCGTAGCTCTTTCGAAGCCCATAATTATTTGATTAATAAACATTTACAGTTTATCGACGAACAGCTGGAAGGCTCAGAAAATAAAGCCGAATTAAAACGATCAAGTGTTATGAGGATGCATGTCGAGTAATAACTACTGCTACAAAATAAGTTATGAAAACGTCTGTTCCCATTCAACCATTTGTAGTGCTAAAACAGACGATGAAATACGAACGGACTCTATATGTTTTCATAAACCTTTCTTTAGTCAGTACTATTCAATCTTGTTAACAATAGTCTATTAATTCTTGTAGAACATTAGTTCTCAGTATAATAGGGCAGCATAAATATCAGGCTAAGATGGTTAGAGTTCATATTTAGATCATTCTATGTTGCTTAGTGAGCATTAGTTTAAATAATCTCCACTGAGAGAAAAGTCACATTAGAATAAATGCCACAGACATATGTCTTGTAAAGTATAGTTATATTTCAATAATTTACACACAATGATAAGTTTTGTTATTGGTAGTATTTCGAGCAAAATTACCAATAACAAAACTTATTGTGTGTAAATTATTGAAATATAATTATACTATATTTCATCTAATCCACAATGCTCAAACTTTTTACTGATATATGTCTTGTATTCATCTATTTATTTAATCATTAGCTGACAAACACAAATAACAATGAACTGACATTTTCCTAGTGATATATCTTATTCGTTTATTTGCTTTTCAAACATTAACCGTTCACTAACATCATTAACACTGAGTGACACCACAGTTCCATATCCATAGAGCGTTGTTTAACAACGGAAATTGAAGGATACAAATTTTATGAAACGCATAATCCTTTGATAAATCACAAAGTGTTGTACAGTTATATTAACTGATGACGTTTGTGATCGAAACGTCATCTGTTAATATAACTGCACAACACTGTGTGATTTATCAAAATAAAATCTTATCTATAATGGAGTTATACTCTACGACAGTGCCCAAGTTTTATACTTATAGCATAATCCTTTGGTTCTATGGTAGAAGGTCTCTCCATCTTAGTTTTCCCATTGGACATATTACACAGATATCTATAAAACACAACATAATCGAGCAAAGAATATTCTTTTCGATAAATTCCTCTTCTGGCTCTACAATTATATACATGTTTATATACACAGAATATTCAAGGCTGGTAGTTAATAACAATATTAGTGTTTTTTAAATAATATCGATTTGTAAAGCAAGATCAATGCAATTACAGTTCACTAAAAATACTTAAATTATAATAGTAATAAAAATATAATAGCGAATCGAATATCAACTAAAATTAGGGGAATTGCACAAAAATTGAGAATCATTCAAACCTAGATGGCCAAGGTAGGGACAGCGTCTGAACTAACTTCTTTTGGACGCACAAATTAGGCTTTTTAATGTGGATTCCAACAGCCTCAGCAATATTTAGTAATCGAACTCTTAAGGCGAAGTTGAGATTTGTTAGTATCCGGTAAATAACTCTAAAAGCCTGGTTAACATCAATCCTATGTTCTGTATCCACCAGATGAGCCAAAATAGCGCTACGGATAGATTTTGTTTGGCCTTTGCTTAACCACGCAGGGTGATGTTCGGAAATTCGACGAGAAACACGCCTAATTGTGCGGCCTATGTAACTGGCTCCACATGAGCAATTAAATTGGTAGATACACATGGATGAGGCGAAATTAGGCAGTTTGTCTTTTACTCCCGAACGCAGAAGAGAAGTAGTCTTAAAGATACAACGTAATTCAGCAGCAGGGAATGCTCGTTTTACCGCATTTCTAATACGCTGTGTTAGTATCTCGCTAGTGTTGTCCCCAAGGAACTGCATCTGAAAGAATAAGGCCTTTTTTGGAACTGTTGGTAACTTCGGCTGCTTTGGTTTCAAATTCATTTAGTATCCCTAATTTTAGTTGATATCCTACTCGCTATTATATCTTTATTACTATTATAATTTAAGTATTTTTAGTGAACTGTAATTGCATTGATCATACTTTACAAATCGATATTATTTAAAAAACACTAATATTGTTATTAACTACCAGCCTTGAATATTCTGTGTATATAAACATGTATATAATTGTAGAGCCAGAAGAGGAATTTACCGAAAAGAATATTCTTTGCTCGATTATGTTGTGTTTTATAGATATTACACAGAAGCAGTATTATTTACTGGATGACGATTCGAACACAATTTATTGCTCCCAATCACAGCAGCTATAACTTCGAAACTTGGTTTTTATAGTCCTATTTCTTACTTCCCATTTGTCGGTTTCTAGGTGTTGAATGCAAATTGTGATCTATCTCCAGTTGCTTTGAAGGCTGTCAGTTTGACCTCGAAGGTCCCTTGTACAAGATAGTGGTCTGAGCCAACATCTGCTACTCTTCTCGATTTTGTGTCAAACAAGATTCGTCTCCACTTCCCTAGCATTGAAATGAAGTCCATCTGATTTGTAGTGCCTCCATGTGGTGAAATGCACGTCGCCTTGTGTATATCCTTGTGTCTGTACACACTGCCTCTATCACCAAATCGTGAGAGGCAAAGAATTCTGTTTAGAGTTCTTCGTCCCAGTTCATTTCCCCGAATGCCTCCCGACCACTGATGAGTTCTCTTCTTGTGTTGCCTGCTCCCCAGTTAGGATTGCATTCATACAACCCATGTGGATTTTGATGTCTCGATATGCGGTATTGTCCACTACTCATGTATATAAATGAAGCAGAAAAGTTGTGTTAGTGACTTGATATGACTATGAGCAATAATTTGTGCTCGAAACTTCATCAGTAAATATTACTGTACAATACTGTGTGATTTATCAAAATAAAAGCTTATCCATGATGGAGTTATACTCTACCACAGTGCCCGAGTTTTACCGTTTGTAGATTTCTGTAGAATTTTTTCTTCTTCTCTTGTTCCACGTTGTTTGTAGTTACTCAGCGTTGTAGTGTTATAAGTAAAGCACCTTTAGATTTTTTATTTATTTAGGGTCAACTAATGTAATTTGTGCTAAAGGAGACTCACCTATAGCACCACAACGCTACGTAACTACAAACAATGCGGAGCAAGGAAAGAAGGAAAATACCATTTTGATGACACACTGGAAACTGAAGCAGAAAAAGCCATGGGTAAAACAGACCCCGAACATTATATCATATAACCGGACCGATATACGAGAAGGGATCAATACAGATGAAACGAATGAAAGATAGTCAAGGGAAGCTAATTAGCGAAGAGGAGAAACAAGGGAAACTCTGGGATTACTCTTGAGACGAAAATTACTTGTAAATCGTCCAGAAATTCCACTAACAGCCACAGAACTACGATAAGGTTACTGAAAGCTAGTCGGGAAAGCAAAAGGACCAGGCAGAATTCCACCGGAAGTATCGAAAAAAGGGCTCAGAGACATCAGTGTATATCCACGCAGCATCAATACAGAAGGTGTGGCAGGGGGGAAACGCATGAACTGATTGGTAGATAAATTATCTTGTCAAACTACGAAAAAAGGACGACAGAGGTCTCTGTGAGAACTAGTGAGGAATCATGCTCCTGTCCGCGCCGAGCAGAATATCAAATCGCATCCTCAGTGAGAGACTAAAGGATGCTCTGGATGCAGAACCCTGCCCGAAACAAGCTGGATTCAGGTGCAGACCAAATTGCAACGCTAAGCATCACAAGTGCACACAGCGTAGAATGCCAGTCAACACTCCACCTGGACTTCATCCACTTTGCAATGGCCTTCGACAGTGTTGACCGCAGAGTAATTTGGAAACAACTTCAACACTATGGAGTGCGGTGCCCCAAACTTTTAGAAACTACATTTATCACCTGCTATAAGATGATGCCCGATGCCAGGTGATTTACAACGGGAAGCCCAGAGAAGCCTTTGAAGTGTCCAGGCTACCTAGCGTCATCGATATTTCTCATTGTGGTGGACTGGATCTTGCGGATTCCATGAATACGTTGGATCAACTTCAGAGGACGATTTATGTCTAACACCCTACAAACTCGAAGATCTACGGGCAAACCTCAAATAGTCGGCAGAAGAATCAGAGAACACAGGACTTCAGGTCAAGAGAGAGAAGAGATGGGTGATGAAGATGTCTGACCCAAAAACAACATGAAGTTACTAAGATAATTAAATAGGTAGCACTACTACGTAATCATACAATAGGATAGGATAGTCAGTCTTAAAATACAATATGATTAAGGGAAAAATTTGTCAGTGAAGCTTTACGTATTAAATCAACTGAGAATACGTGTAATGGATACAAATAAACACCTGGCCCGAATATCTGGGAAACGCTACTACCCCTACAACAATTGGGTAGGAAGGAAGAGGAATATAAAATTCAAGTTCGAAGTTGTGTAGTTACAAGTGTTATAATTGGGGACAAAAAATTGTTTTGAACGTCATCCAGTAAATACTGTTCCAGTGTGTTATATCCACTAAAAAGATTAATGTGGAGTGATTCAAACTCGACAAAGCACTGAGTACAAACTGAAAAGAAATTCACTACAAGTAGTGTGAGTCAAATCTATTTTATCGATGGAGATAAATATAACTCACCTTGAAACCTAATCCATGAGTTTGTTGCTTTGACTGGCTTTGGTTTAGGTGTATGAAAAGATAAGTTTCACAGAAACAAAATTCTAGTCTGAATCGTGTTTACTTGCATAAATATACGATGGTAAATCAACATTATCCAAGGGCCATATAAGCGAAGTCAGACAGACTTAACAAATGCTTGTATCTTACAGACCAATCCTATTCCATGATGAGAGCATTTAAAAAGTCATTATCTGCTTGATGGCTTTGAGTTTACACGCGAATGAAATACACAATATACGTTAGAAAAGCAATAATCTAATATTACATTAGCAGACTAATTATTTTACTCACTAGTTTCCTGATCATATTTTTAATGGTGCGAATGTAGTGAACATAAGTAATTGTAAGCATACCGTCGACCAGTGGAGCCTAAGTCATCAGTTTAAAGCAATTTCGTGGACATATCTGGTAAGGTCTTCATAAATTACTCCAGTTAATCTCACGGAGCCCACAGAAAACAGCAAGATGGCATACACTAATGGTTGATACGATTACCTGTAAAACACATTAATTAGTAGTAATCACTCTACCTAAAGTGCTAACTGATATTTCAACACTACCATGAGTTTCACCTGATGTTATTTGATTGACGATATTTACCAGAGGGATTCCAAATAAGCATTTCTTTCCTACTGACTACTCATCAACCCAATATACCTGCATCTAAATAGGTGAAGTTTACAATAAAAACTAAACCTACTACCTATGACTTTAAATATTATGCGATAGATTTCTGTGGCATAATATTCAACTTTTCCTGAGTGGGTAACTACAACTAACCAACATTACAAATATAACATCAGAATAAAATATAAGATACACGCTCGATGGAACCATATAGCGACAGCACTTGTCGATTCGATAGGCTGAAGTGTACGGATAAGTGCGTCATCACTGAAGTTGTTAAGTCGGAAACTTAAGTTTTGTGAGCAATTAAATATTCAGATACATAATGAAGCACTAGATAGTTAATAACCAGTCCGATTATTTAATACAATCCCTAAGTTTAAACACAGCTTTTTCTAAATACACAAGATATTTCTAGTTGGAGAAACTACACATGGCGTTTCACCCTTTTTGCAGATCCTGTTATTTAGCACTACGAATGCCAGTCATTCTGAGCTATAACATTCTAAATCATTCCAGGAAACCAGCTACACTTTTAGAATTAAGTGAAAACGCAATCGGCGATAATGCCATTTACTAAACATGCAGACTTATTGGATCACGAATCAAAGCAGCTAGTAAGCAACGAGGAAAAGACTTGAAGATCTTGGACAGCGTATGTTCCAAGTAGTCTTGGATTACCTGTCGAATACCTAAAATTTGAGTATTTATAACAAACACAAAAACCTTAATATGGAGTACACTGTCATATGGTTTGTAATTTGAATACATGGCGTCTCTTACATATTAGTAAAAATGTAAGAAAATCGATTGGAAACTGATTTGGATTCAAAGTATGCTCTCTAAAAACGGTGTTAAAACTTCTCGGATTTTGTGCGCGTATTACGGCCTTCACAGAGTCGCCATAAACAAACGGGAAATAATACAAAACCAGAGAAATCATAATTCAAAAATGAATTTAACCTGCGCATTTCATTTTCATAAGCCTCGAGACCAACTTTATCAAGATCAGATGGTGGTTTGGGGTATTGCATTCGGAAAGCATCACTACTAACTCCAAAAGCGTTGATCTTCCGGACTGTGTCGAATTCTCGGCGAGATTCAACCTTCCCGAGAATAGAATATGCCTCACTTATTTCAGCAAAACGCATCTTTGATCCTTCATCATTACACCTGTCAGGATGGTACTAATAGGTATGTAACTAAATAGACTTCACTAAAACCTTTTTGGACAGATCGAGGTAAGCTTCTTTTATTTCCTCTTGAGATGCTGTACTTTTGACATTCAAAATAGCATAGTAATCTTTAATTTCTGAAGATCTGCTGAAGTATCTTGACATCTGGCAAAATAAGTTACTAATTCTGCATTTTCTTGAACCAGAAACTAGGTAACAGCTAACCATAGCCCCACAACCGAATTACCTGGCAAAGCATGAGAAAAACAATTGAAAATCGATCATACCAGTTTTTTTTGAAAATGTCCAGTTAAGAAATGAAACTGCAGTCTATTCAAGAGTTGTCAAAAATTATCTTTTACACCAACTAGTACACCTCGCGTACACTCGTGTTAGTTTGAATTCCTCGGTAACCCGGATAGTTAATTCAACCAACAGCATGACCTCCACATGTATGGTAATGATATAATAATGCTTAACTTATGTTACTCAAGTGTGTCTAATAGTCTGACAGATCTAATTAATGAGGTCTGCTGCTAACTTGACACAAGTTCAGGATTATGGAAGTCCCAGTGTATATATGCTTAGTGGTGTGTACCTTCACGAATACGTATTACGTGATGGCCTCTGTATGCAGGATATGCTAAGGAGACAGCAGTGATCACATAACTACACCATTTGTACGTAATTTACCACAAATACTAATGTGCTTTATTCCAAAAACAGAACTTATAATACAGCATGAAATTCCCAGCATTTGTCACAATATTGCATCTAATTTACTCAAAATATAAATAAAATTGACCACAAGGACTTGTCCACATTCACAGTAGGAACAATGTCGAACACACAATAAAGACCTCGACCCCACTGACAAATCACATGTATTACTAGCGTTACAGGTAAATCAAAACAACAATACTTTTATTTGGTGCTGACGCCCAAGCGTTTACGAGAATTCCAGAGTATTCAGAGTGATTAAAATGCTCGAACAAGTCACCTGATATGGTGAGACATTTCTGCTTAACGTCAAGAGACACCGGGGAGAGGGTGACAATCTTACATTTCGTAAGCTGCGATTCAGAATTATTGCAAAACCGACAGTGGGATTATGTATCAGTTGTGTCACCAATGACATACTAGTAAACTGAAAATTCTATGGCCGTAAATCTACACTAGAACACTGAATTTCGACACAAGTCACTGTTGTTGTACAAAACGAGAGAAATTTCGGAAATCTTCCATAATAAAACGCACTCCTATTACTCACAACAGAACCAACCAGGGAAATTTTCGTGAAAATGAGCGAAGTGGATAAAAAACGCAAATGACGTTTGGCATAAAATTGGGCCACTTCGGGTATTTTTGAAATTTACATCGGCAACGTGAGCTACCGAAAAAAGTGAATTCTTTCGTGAAAAAATGTAGGTAAAATAGATAAAGGAGGTTAACGGCATACATTGAATGAAAAAAGTGGGCAGTGAAGTTCTATAGAAAACGTTTTATTTTGCATTATATACGCGTTAAAATTGTCCATCCACCCTATGTACATTCTCCGACTGGGGTATCAAAACAACATGACTTTTGTAAAAAGTGGGACACAAAAAGGATTAAAATTAAGGGGAGTTCTACGGACAACAAATTTTACCATGATTACCACTACAACTACCATGAAGCAGAATTTAATTGACCCTACATATGTGACGTACCCTTTAAATATTGCTCTCTTTTACAAGACAAATTTAGATGGAATAAACAACTTTAACTTTTCAACCACTGTGCCACTTTTTTCCACTTCAGAGTGTGGTTATCGCCATTAAAATTACAAATATGTGTTTCTAGTGACATTACGTTCAACAAATTGAATGCATGGTTTTAGATATGTATATATACTCACTAAATTTTAACATACTGGTGATTCACACAAACTGAAGTCACTCACATATAATTCATTCATAATAAATCACTATAAGCCCGCTGTCATTGCTTCAAATTTATTAGAGCGAATCTCTTGGCTTCACACAGAACGAGTGGCAATAAACACTTTTTAGCTTCCATTTGACCATTAGTAGATCCAGTCAAACTTAACAGCTTCATTAGATATCGTCCGTGTTCTCAAACTTCATGTGCTCACAGCACGCCTTTACGAAGAGACTGGATACCCTACTCACTGCTTACATTGGAAAGAAAGTAACACTACCTCTAACAACGTCGCGGATGTCACTGAAATGAGATAAGTATCACTGCTGAACTTGAACGGCATACCATATCATGTATCCAGCAACATAAAGTGGGTCCGGAAATTAATATGGTCATTATCACGCCACTTCTTTCGTATCAGAGTATCGATCAGTTTCACAATGAAAGGTTAGGCACACACGACGAGATATAAAACAACAAAGGCTTTCACTCGTTTCGACGGCGATATTTCAGATAACAAAACACGCAATTCGACGAAGAAAATCTTTTCGGCAAGACGGTTTTCTTCGGGTGTATAACTGTGTTTACATAGAATTCTTCGTAAAAGACGGCTGCGACAAAAAGGATGAGTTTTCAGAGTCGCTAACATTAGTCATTGCATGAGAGGAACTGAACAAGTCTATTAGAGTCTCATGAGATGATGAATGATTTAATGAATGAGATATAATGAGGATGCAGATTGAAACAAAGGACTGCATAAAATATTGAAGAGCTCTACAGGTAGCAATGGTTTTGAAGGGTTAGAAAGACAAACGGGTGAAAAACAGGTCGGTATTTTATTAGTTACAAATACCCCAAAAATCATGAGCCTATAGTATTCATCACTCAACACTGGATGCTGGCCTTCACTTCTTGAGTCAACTAGATAAGCTAAAGTTTGGTGGCTAAGCTCCCAAACCATTTGGCACGTGGCCTTTTCACACTGTCTCGTATGCTCATGTACAGTCTCTTGCTAGCTAGGCAATCATCCTCGCAATACGATTTTGATCTCAAAATATTCGACTTTGGACGATAATTTTGGTGACCACATTGCAAACTTGACTGATAGAATTCAGTCTGCACCAAAGGAATAGTCAGACATATTACACTGGTCACTAGTGTTTAGTGAAAGACAAACTTGTTTTTTATTTGAGTTCGGTCTAGTTAGAACAAATACCGTAGGAGTTGTTTGTACTGGAACTTGCGTAAGCATACACCATAATTCACCCAAACGTCAGCACTTCCTCACCCCTAAACTGAGATTCAACGGGACCGTCATCATGACAGTAGAAGTGACTGAGTGATTTTCTTTAATATACACAGCTCCGGTTTCTTTAATTGAATGAATGAAACTTCAGTAGTTCTAAGAAGGCGAAAGCGTATTGTCTTTGCCAATAGGAGCGTAAAATTAGGGCAGAGACAGAACAAGCGTTGGTGAATAATAACGTGGATCCATTTTATTTGGTTGATTCTCATCAACTGCGTATCACATATCATATTCAGTAAAATGAGTCAGCGTATAATTCTGATGTACTTTTGTCTATCAGCACGTATATTGCAGGAGAATTAGAGTGAAATAATATATCAGGATGTTAAGGCAGCTGAAGTATTACAGTGTTAATGTCCGCATACATCCTGTTAGAAAGAAGCTTCTCGAAGAGTGATTAACAAACCTGTTCGTGGCGAAAATGAGGAATGATCATTAAGGTCAGAGAAGGTCCAAAATTTGGTGTGCAAGGGATCAGATAAACAGATGATGATGATGCAATACAATGAGCAGAACTCAGAAGGTTAATAGCAATTATCCTTTGTTGATGTCAACCGGAAAAATGGGGGTTGTGAAGATAGGTTAATGAGATCAAAAAACGGGTAGTCACTAAATGATGGGCCACCAGGGTGATTGAAGCTGGGTGACAGATTCGCTTGGGATGCATAGGTTAGACTTCAACTCTTTTATTGCGATAGCCTCAGCAAACTGAAGATTTGTACTATTTCGTGTGTTAACTATTGTGAATGATTAAATCGCGTCTGTTCGGTGTCCTGTGTCCGTCAGGTGTTTGATGACAGAAGAACCTAAACTTTCGGGCTTCTTCAAGCGGAGGCTCCTTGAAACATGTTCTAAAATTCTAGTTTAGTGATATGTATCCACATAATATGTTTGTTTTTGACAGTCTATTATATTTTGCTATGTATATATGGATCGATATTCCATTATAATTGACAATATGTTTTTGTCTGTCCACTAACTAAACAAACATGTCTGACCTTGTTCTCACATGACAATACAACCAATCATGTTAAGACTGTCTATTGATTCGTTCAGTTTTAAACATTCGCTCACACACTTGTGTGACATTGATTTTCCTTGTTTGAAAAATACAAGTATCATCGTGAACCTAGTGGTTTTCTGATTTCCGCCTTCTTGCGTCAGGACTATTAATTACTTGACCAGTACACAACAATAATTTGGCGACGGGGAAAACTATGGATTCTTCTAAATTGGAATCACTGTTTGAACAACAAACGAAATTAATAGAAACGTTCGTCAACCAACAGACTGGTCCAACTTCCCCTTCAAGCAATCTGAATCATACCATGCTACCATCTGTCGACGGCATTGTGAATAGTATTTCACAATTCAACTATAATCCAGATGCTAATGTCACTTTTGACACATGGTATCAAAGATATGAGGATTTATTCACAGTTGATCTCGCCTCACAAGACGATGCCTGGAAAGGTGCGAGTGTTATTACGTAAATTGGGTCCCGCAGAATATGAAAGGTACTGCAACCTAATTTTACCCCAGAAACCACGTGACAAGTGTTTCGATGATACAATAAAGCTGCTGCGTGAACATATCGAGACCACTCCTCATTATTCAACATACGTTATCGTTGCCTCAAGCTGACAATGAATGAAAATGATGATTTTCTTATTCACGTTGGCACAGTCAACCGAGAATGTGAGAGATTTCGACTCGGGTCCTTTACAGACAATCAGTTCAAAGCCTTGAT